CAGGTCCATTTCGTAAACGCGAATACGCGTACCTTTAAAATGTGTATTAATAAATGCATTAAAAAAAATCATACCAAATTTATCACTTACCACAAATCCAAATACCAAAAGAAGTCAAACCAATTTTGTTTCCGTATTTTTTGACCAACTCATCTAAGGCACCTGCTTGAAAGTTGGAAAGTTTGACAAGATCTTTATTGACCAATAAGGATAATGAGTATTTTGTCTTGACTTCACCAAAAAGAATCTCTTCTTTTGTATTTGTCATGATTTTAAAATCTGGTTTTTCACCTCGAAAATTTTCCTTGTCGCTAGAGCTGTTAGAACGTCTATTCCTTGAAACAAAACTTTCGCTGTTCGCCCTTTTTTAACCCGCGCATTATTTACATGATTTATCTAGTAACCTGTCAAATTACAAATACAAATTCTTACCAAATTAAGTCGAACATTGAATCACGAAAGATCTCTTCAAGTAGATCATGCAGAGTTTGATGAACAAACGTATCCTCATTATTGGTCTTCACACTTTTTGCATTCAGCAATAAACTGTAAAAAGTTATTTGTTAATTTACATCAATTATGATTTACGTCTAGTACAACACTTACAAATTTCGAAAAATAATTTGCGTTTGACAAAATTTATCTTTGTCTCGATCCGTCAATCCCGTGATCTTGGAAAAGTTGTTACACCATGCGTCTTGAATATCACTTAAAGGTGTAAAAGAATTTGCCATCTAGAATTCAAAGAGAGAAATAGTTAATATTAAATCTTTTAATTTAACTCCAGTCTGAGTGGGAAAAGCAAGCTTACAGAAGAATACTCAAGAGCTACGTTATTCACTTCGAGTGGCAGACCCGGAGATGATTTTCTTCGGCAGATTTTGTCCCAAACAGTTTGTGATATAGAGAGAAACAACGGCTTCATATTTTCGATGAGCATTATATTCGAAAGAGATCTATATTATACGTAAGGATAATGAATACATGATCATAAAACCAACCTGATTCAGGTTGCAATACAATACTCACAGAATTTTTTGTATATCCGTTTTATAACATAGGATCGGATTTTTTTTAATCTGTTCGATGGTTGACTTTTGAAAATCCCTGAACTCAGCAGAGATATTATAATTCTCGTAGACCCACTGAAAATATTACATATAGTTATGGTTAACGATGTAATGAATGTAATGTAACGAACCGTTATGTATATATTTACATCATCTTTAGAGGTACTCCTGCAATCAATCCGATCAATAATGCTCT